ACTGGACACCAGATTTACGTAGTTGTAGATATCATCTGGCCACGAATTGGTGGAAGTTCGTTGTGTTTTGGTGTTAGATTTTTCTGAAGTAGGACCAGTGTTGGGAGTTACAGATGAAATTCCTTTACTAGTGCTGGGAAATTTGATTTCACTGTCTACAGTTTCTTGTGTGTTGCACGCTCGTTTCACAAGAAGCGCACCGATCTAAGCTAATTTGTTTTCTTTTTGGACCAGTCGTCTGCTTTTTAGTAAATGTAGTCACTTGTGTAGAGGAAGGAGCAAAAAAACTTTAGGAGAAACTTTAGGAGAAACTGTAGGAGGAACTTTAGGATGAACTGGCATCGCAGACTTCAATAAGGTTGGAAGGTGTGCTTTAAAATAATGGTCTCGTGGCTGAAGTGCTTTAACTGGTTTGCACAAGGTAACAAAATGATTTTTGGTAGATAGAATTCTTCCATCAACCAAATAAGACGGTGGCATCGCAGCACAATGAAAGATATGGACATATTCAATTGCACTGCCATCAAGATAATCCCGTAGATATACTGTATTGTACAATTGAATCCAAGGAATCCCAATTTTCTTTCGCTACAGTATCATTGGTGAGTGGGTAGAATGACTGAATGGCACACTGAATTACTGTGGGCAAGGCAAACATGCACACCATGGATGAGAATGTGTAATTTTTTGCAGTTTCCTTTGCTTCTTCTAAAACTGCTGCATTTCATTACAATTCTCGAAAAAAGTAAGAGCTGCATCAGATACACACATGGCAGAGGCATTTTTAAGTGTAGTGAACGCTAGTATAGTATAGTATTTGGCATTCTCAAACAGTTCAATACTGGTGAGGCATCTCAAGTGAGCAGACAAACTCTCATTCCCGATTAACGCAATAGAACATGCATTAAAGAGACAATGAAGTACTGAAAGAATTTAAGCATTTAAGTATCAATGGTTATTTTATATTATTTTGTAAATATTCTATTGAAACTTTTAACCAGAATGTCAACTTCTTTGCACCACACAGTAATTATGTGATTATACTTTGCAAACTTCGCTCAAATTATCTGGAGAACAAATGTTATACCTTGCCATTTGAGAAATAGCAAGGAACCATTTGTTTTCCCAAATGTTTTCCCTCCTTTTGCTTGTATAATCATGGGTCTCGTTCCATATAACTTTGTGCCAAAAGGATAATTACTAGAATTAGTCAGAGTAACCAATAGAACTAGAGTTGGTTTTAAGGTAAGGACTGGAGATTAAATTTTGGAATCATTAATATGGAAATTGAGCCATAATCATAATTCTTTTAACAATGAGGCCCCCTACAATGTCTTTGTGTAATTTGAGTAACATCATGATGACATCAAAGTCACAGCTGGCCTTGACTAACTCATGGGATTTTGTTGCAGTTTTAGATTCGGGATTAGGTTTTAATGTCAGGATTAGGATCAGGATGACATCATCCACAACAACATCAATATTCATCCACAACAAACACCTGTGAGGTAGTCACCCTCCAGGGGCCAGTTGTTAAAAATATTTGCTGTGTTGGTGTAATGTACTCTGGTGAATAAGATGCTTGTGTGATGTTATTAGAATGTTAGGGTTAGTAATCCAAGTGAGAATATATACATTTTAAGACCTAACCAGGAACAACTGCGAAAAATGCAGCACAAGTCCTCTGGTAGGAAATGAACCTACGGCCCTGCGATTCCTACCAGAGGACCTTGTGCTGCATTTTTCGCAGTCGTTCCTGGTTAGGTCTTAAAATGTATATATTCTCACTTGGATTACTAACCCTAACATTCTAATATTAATTCCACCAAGTGAAGTGCAAGAATCCAAATTGTGTCATGTTACTCTGAGTGTATATCCACACCGGGCAGGCTTGAAAAATATGCCTGGCCATGGTGGGATTCGAACCTATGACCTTTGGCAAAGGCATTGGGAGAGCATTGGGCTAGTATTCCTTGGCAGATCATTGGGCTAGTATTCCAAAGGTTGTAGGTTCGAATCCCACTGTGGCCAGGCATATTTTTCAAGCCTGCCCGGTGTGGATATACACTCAGAGTAACATCACACAAGCATCTTATACACCTGAGTACATACACTAACAGTCCAACACAGCAAATATCATGATTATTAGATTACACTGATATCGAAGGAACTAGACTCAGTTCCAAAGTATTGCATACTTAAACCGACCTGACCGCATAGCTCAGTTGGCAAAGCATTGGGCTAGTATTCCAAAGGTCGTAGGTTCCAATCCCACCATGGCCAGGCATATTTTTCAACCCTGCCCGGTGTGGATATACACTCAGAGTAACATCACACAAGCAATTTAGAAATACTTCTTCAGAAATCTTGTCTGGATGAATGAAAGTTTTCTTCAAAGCTTCGAAGTAAACAGGCATGCAGAAACACACAAACAAAAACACTAGGTTAAATTTTAACCAAGGATTAGCCTTAGCTTAGAACAACCGACCCCTGGTCAACCTACAAATATTAAGGCGTTATATTTAAAGCTTGGTGAAACCAAATAGACGACTATATAGACCCAATACAGAAGTAAACATTTCATTTTACAGTCGACAATCAAATTTTGGAGCCGTAAACAGTAGCAAAATACTGATAACAGTTTTAAACAGAGTTTTTACTAATATTTCACGACTACATAGCGGATAAATGCAATTTATATTTTATTAACCGCCATGTGTTCGAGTTCATATTACTATTTTACTAACAAAAATTTACATACATACAAATTTGCATGCACAAATTTATATTCTCTGACCCCAGCGTATAAAATGCAAATTTAATATAAGTCGATTAAAAATTCTTACCTAACAGGAACAGTAGGCCCAGATCTTTCAGTTTGGCTCTTGGAGAACTGCAGTTTTGAAAATTCGCACGTTGGCAGCACGATGTCGCCAGTAGATTTTATACGGCGCAGCCTTTCTTCAGTGATAAATGGGTCATTCCATTTATTATCCGCACCCCCCCTATGGATGAGCTCTGGTAAAAATGTTACCTGTAGGAATCGGATTTCAGAGAAGTACCCTGTTGGAATCGACAGTATCAATCTAAACCCTAGGAATGCTGCTAATTGCCAATATCTCACTGGTAGGAATCTGCTAATTGCCAATATCTCACCGGTAGGAATCTGCTAATTCCCAATGTCAGACCGGGGGGGGGGGGTGAGAATAATAAATGAAATTATTATGATTCTCATAATAAATATTTGGCAATATAGTATGCTACACCTTGACGGCAATATCTGACCGGTAGGAATCGGGCCAAAGGAATCTGTTAATTCCCAATATCTGACCAGTAGGAATCCCCTAAGTCCTAATATCTGACCGGTAGGAATCCGCTCATCCATAGGGGGGGTGCGGATAATAAATGGAATGACCCAATTCATCATATTGTTGCCTCAAGAGCGATAATTCCCCTGAAATATGTTCGCTTAGGTTTGCTTGTTGAAAGATTTCGACGAGCTTGCTAAGAACATAGACTTTTTTTAAAAGCTCCCATCCTGATAGCATCCATGTAGCTTGTGATGTATTATTCTTTATCCCGTCAAGTCGACAAGTATCGAACTTTATTGTTGATCATTTGTATTGCGCAATCAAAACAGAGCCACCGTGGCAGACCGTGGCGCACATGACCACAACTTGCCCTGTGATTGGTTTGCAACGCTGCACCGTGGCAGAAAGTTACTATATTTAGTAACAATTGCGCAATTTTTTGCACGCTGACCGTGGCATTTTGTGGCTGTGATCGCAGCTTCGAATTTACGACTGTTTTCCGAACATATTCGGCACAATTCGGCACGCTTTCGGCGGTTTTTATAGTTCAGTGTTTAACTGGATAGTTATACTATTGAACAAGGAATATATTTCGGAAGTTTTTCCTGCTTTTAGCACATATTACTGTAATATGAGAACAATTACGAAAGATATTATTCAAATTGTTTGCTATAGACCTATATTTGCTCAATTTTGCTGTATTTCAAATAACTAATATATACTTCTTAAAAATGCGTAATGCAGTCTAATGTAGTATCCAACAAAGGTGAACCCCGGAAAATCCTAAGTGGGAAAAATCTGACCGTGGCTCGAGCCACTTTTGCCACGGTCTGGATCCGCGCCTGGACAAAGGCCGAGCAATTACAATATTTCGCGCAAAGATAAAAAGTCCGTACTTACAATCAGATGTCAATTCTTCTTTGAAATGACGCTCACATAGGAAAATCTTATTTTCCTCGATTTTCTGCTTTAGTTCGGGAGTCATTTCCCTTGTTCTTAGTATCCATGTAGCCATTCTTTACGCGCAATCTCCTTCGAAGCCCTCATCTCTTGTCAATTATCCACTCTAGGTCAAAGACCACTCTTTCGACTTGTCGAACAGCCATACTTTGCACAGTTGGCACCCGGCGTAGCGTAGCTACTGAGATTTTTCCAAAATTCGCTAGAGAAAGCAGTTAATTCGAAGGTTTTCGGCGTAGAAGTGCGTCGCCGCTCATATTGTAAAGCATTCATTGTTTATCGCTGATGCACTAGAATCGTCACGTGACCTCAATAGTCGAGAACAATAACATATTTTGGGGGGTGTCCAGCTAGCCATACTATGACGCGCGAAAGCGGACAAAATTACTATTCCGAAATATATACGACGTCAATATCAAATATAAAACAACAATACAAATATAGTAGGAATTGCCGTATATATATGTGTGCTAATTCTTTAATATAAAACATGTGCTTAAATATATATATCATCGTTTTTAAATATAAACAATGTTGCCGATTATTAACTGTGCTGCAACGCATGTTTATCGCAATTCGCATGCAATCAATTAGCCGCTGTCTGCATAAATTATGATAATGTGGTGCTGTAACGGATGCTCTTAGTTCGGTGCGACGCTGTGACGGATGCTCAATTTAAGCAGATAAATAAATTAAACCATTAGCTTGACGCATCATTCAAGTGCTGACTTTCGAGAAGAGCAAGCTTCAACCTTCTCATCGTCTTTCAGGTAAGTTTTATAAATTGCTGTTTTTCTGGGTGCCTCATGCTCAGTTCTAATAAACGTTCTATTTCTATGCTTGGCAGCAGAAGTGCAACAGTTCTAGGAATAGGCAATTATTTTGTGCACTCTCTTAAAAAAAATACAAAATAATGGTTGGTGACGGCGCTCGTCTCGATTTAAGCTTGCATGGTAAAGCTATATAGGTTTTCTTTATGAAGTAGATAGACGCAGTTTGCTTAGTCTTGGGTCTAAGTAAAATACGGATTAGGTTTTTAAGCGTAAGCCTGAGCGGCCTTTTATCCCAGAAAGCTAGTGGGACTGGCCCTCTCTCTTTCTCTGCAAACGTACTAGGGCGAACCATAGGTTCGGAAGGTTTAATAGTAGTTTTTATTATAGATTTAGGTGTAAATGCAATGTGAATTGCAGTGCGAACTGCGTGCGATCGACGGTACGTACGCTCAAATTACCAAAATGTAAAACAAGTCGTGTCTGTGCATAAAATTAAATATATTTTTGAAATCACTTCTCGGAAAAAAGGCAACTGGATGTATGTAAATTGTGCTTTATACCGTATGTACGAACGACACCCCCACTGTCAAGAAGGGTAATGTTCCAATAGCGTCGAGCAAAACTGCGTTAGCCACCGTGGCTGCGTAGCAGATAAACATTTTCAACCTCGCATGCCAACGCTCTTCACTTCCGCTTTCCTCTGCATGATGCGTGTAATGGGCAAATCTGAAGGAGACAAAACGATCGCAAAAGCAGTAAAACACTACTCTTTTGGGATTGTTTTCTCTCCCCGGAACGACGCATTCGCAACCGTTTTGGCAAATCGTTTGAGTTTATATAGAGTGTAACAATTTCGTTTGAAAATATGAATTTTAAACAGCCCGTATTTTAATTAAACTATACTAGTGTGCCATTGAATATTGTAACTGCGCCATATATGTAAATCGAAAATTAGTTATTTAAATTAAGTTTCGTATTTCAATTTGCTTGCCACCGTATGTATTCCCTATTGGTCCTCTAAATAAACTAGCTGGTTCAAATTAGAGATATCTGTAATATTTAAACGATCGTACAATTATTCTCAAAGTCCTCGCATGTGTAAGAGAGGAGGCATGATTTGGCAGATGGCTACGCAAAATGATCAATTTGAAAATATAGTAATTTCATGGTCTTCAAAACCATTTTCATGAAAAGTTCGAATCCGGCGAGATATTGGGGGAGGGGGCAAGTGAGGTAAGCAACGAGTCAAATCCAATTAATGGTAGTTAATTCTAGAAAACCTTGTGCAAACATTTGTAAATATTGTTCCCGGAAAAATGCATTTAGTTCAAATTTAGTTAGCAAATGTGTGATGACGACAATAGGTGAATAATTTTATGAAAAGTTTCAGTTCATAATGAATGAAATCAATAAATCTAAATAATACTGTTTGTTTATGTGTATTGTGCCTTGTTCCAATGTAATAACTAATAATAACAGAATTTTGTAATTTATGACCTTCCAATTACTTTTAATTTTTCTCGACAAGTATCGCATTACAGTTTATGATTCAATTGTTTCTAATGAAATATGTCGACGAGTATTTACCCAACGGGGGGTCAAATGCCGTCAAAACATTACACAAACCAAAACAATCGTACATTTTTTCACCTACCTCCTCCACAGGCCTTTCGATGCGGGCGGGAATAATTTGCGGGCGTGAAATTTGAGATCAGGGAAGAACGGAAGGCGACGAAAGGCCTGCTGAATAAGGGACGGACCATTAGAAAAGTTATGGGGGGGGGAGGGGATTTTCTAAGAGGCAATATTTTTTTTGTACACCTATAGAAGAATTTATTTTTTTTCTCACTTGATGGTTGGAAATTTTTTTTTTAAAGGGGCCCTTACAGTAATTTTTTAGTCAAGTAAGTATTGTTTACATTTTTTGTTATTGTCGCTACTTGACATGCGCACCACAATATACATGCGTTTTCTGGTGTGCAAAAGTATTCATACTCATGGATATAGCATGTAAGATACAGCTAAACGAATCTCCGTGGAGTCTCCTACTTAAGGTGGCTTTCGACTAAAAAATGACTGTAGGGCCCCTTTAAGTGAAATTTATAGGCCTATTAGTGGTGCAGTCCTGGAATGTTGACAAGGGGGGCTCTGCCCTGAATTGGCGGGAGGGGAGGGGAGGTACAATAAGATATTTTGGAAATTCTAAATTTTGTTGGGGTTTATTCTAGTAATTCTGGGACAAACATTTGACGTTATTCTTATTAAAAACAAGCCGAAGCGAGGGCCGAAGGCCCGAGGAAATTTTTAAATTTAGAGTCTTTGAAATGCCATTTCCTGGACATTGGGGAATATTTGACAGAATTCTGTTGGTCAGAAAACAGCGTTTTAGTATGTCGAAATTTACAATTTAGTGGTACTAAATGATATAAAGATTACAAAAATGGCGATATAATTAAAGATTACAAAAATCATTATTGTGTTAAATGATGAGTGAAAATAAGATGCAATTCTAAAGAACATTCTCGTTTACTGATATTTTTTGTGTGTGTTTTTGAAGTTGTTAAGATTATGCAACGTGCCAAAATATTGGGGGGCTCAGCACGCTGGTCATATTCAGCAAATTTTCTCCCAGGACCGCAGGCTCATATTGTCAGTGGACTTGCGGTGTAAAATTGAAACTTCTGCATTTTTCAGATATCTGGCCACTTTCTGTAAGATGTCCGCTGTCAATACGAACCCGTACGAGTGGGAGAAATTTTGCTAACTTTGACCAACGTGCAGCCCCCCAAGTCAACATGAAATTTCAACAAGGAGGCTTAGCCCCCCTGAGCCCTCCCTCCGGTACACCACTTGGCCTATCTTCTAAGCAAGGATTTTTTTTTGCACTATGCCTGCAAAAAATTTTTTTTTCTTAATTTTTTTTCTGGGAATAATTTTTTTTGGTTTGCCCCCATCACTTTTCTAATGGTCCGTCCCTAATAGTCGGTTTCTGGGCAGAAGTGACGTTTTTCGGGTATCGGTTTTCAATCCTTAAAAATCTTCGTGAAATATGAACCATCCTATCCCAAAACTATTGTCCCGTGTATGGTAGAGTATTTGTGATACTTCAGGGCAGTCATGGCCGAAAGCAGCGACGAACAGAGGGAAAAAATCGAGGATTTCGACAATGTTGACGTTCTTAATTATAATATGTCATTCAGTGAAATGGAAATAGGTATGTATTTTACCTGATTAAATATCATGTAGATCATTGACGCGTTTTATAATGCAACTCATAACAAGCAGTCGTAACACAATGATATATCAATCTCTATGAACAGGACACGCTTGAATAACGCCATATGTTGACAATTAATATGTTGTGCTCATCGTTCGACGGCAGCGATGTGGATACTCTCAATATATCGTTTTCTGAAATGGACTTGGTATGTAGATTTTTGGAGATAATCTAATTGGCGCGGCATGCGAGTAGCGACTCAATAGCGCGAGGCGCGACTCGAAAGCGCGAGGTGCGACTAAATTGGCGCGACTGGTGGAAAAAGTCGCGACTCGTGGAAAAAGGCGCGACTCGCGAAAAAAATTATTACGACACAATTGCTATGTTATTGTTTGTATAATGTTGATGAATTTCTATCATGGGAAAAGCATATTGATAAAATTGCCAAAAAAGTCTCATCCGGAATTGGGGCAATCAGAAAATTAAAAATAATGTGTAGACCGTAATACATTAATTTGTGCCTATAATGCACTTGTTTTGCCTCACCTTATTACTGTTGCGAAGTTTGGGACACCATTGGTACCACACTTTCTGATCGTCTCCAGAAATTACAAAATAGGGCTGCTAGAGCTATCGTGGGTCGTAAAAATGAACATGGTCAATCTGAACTAGCTCTAAATGAATTAAACTGGAAGCAA